CAGGCGCCGAGCCGATCCTGGCCAATTTGAGGTCTTATAGTACGTGTTCCCAAAACCTATTTCTCTTCCTATATTGCTCAAGGTAGAAAGATGAAATTTACATCCCTATAATGTGGTGATGATAGTGTAAAAGGAGAGAAATTCACAACATACCCTAACACATTTAAAAATATTCACACTCTTTGTAACTTTTTTTATGTAGAAATTAAGGTGATAAAAATAATACTGTAATGTAGATCCTTTGGAAAACAAAAACTTACCCTCAATGTGAAACATTTTGTTCTAGTTCTTTCTAGTCTCTTTAAATAGACTGTATACCTGTTTATAAAAGTACTAAAACTCATGATCAATTTTATATTTTTTTCTTTCATGTTTTATTACAGTTTTTTAATATTTTCATGTAGAATTCATGAACACTGCTTTTAATTGACTACGTAGTTTAAATGAATATACCATACTTAACAATTTCCCTATTGCTGGTAAACATTCAGGTTGCCTCCTTTTTTTCTATTACCAAATATATTTAGCTTTTGCCTACTTTATTTTATTGGCTTAAAGCTTATGAACACTTTCATTATTCTTAATATGTATTAGAAACTGATTTTTTTTCTTTTTTTAAAAATTAAATCTAGAAACTGATTTTTAAAAGTCTTTTTAAACTGGTAAATATAATCATGCACATCTCTGTTCTTTGCAGGTTCGAGGTTATGATTTTAAAGCTGATATCTGGAGTTTTGGAATTACAGCCATTGAACTGGCTACAGGGGCAGCTCCTTATCATAAGTATCCACCAATGAAGGTGAGGCTCACATTTCAAATACCCCAGCTCAAGTCCCTGTTCTTTCTCAGAGCCTTTCTTTATTTGCCATTCTTTCCATTTTATTTTAACTGTGACAAAATATACATAACATAAAATCTACCATGTTAACCATTTTTAAGTATATAGTTCAGTGGTATTAAGTACATTCATAATGTTGTGCATCTGTCACCACCATATATATTTAAGTTCTTTTTAATCTGGTAAAACTGAAACTTTGTACTCATTAAACAATAAATATTGATCACCCCTCTCCTTAGCCCCTATGTGATCACTATCCTACTTTCTGTCTGTATGATTTTGACTGCTCTGAGCATCTCAGATAAGTGGATTCATATAGTGTGTATCTTTGTATGACTGGCTTATTTCATATAGCACGATGCCCCCAAGGTTTGTCCATGTTATAGTGTATTGCAGAATTTCCTTCCTGTTTAATGCTGAATAATATTCTGTTGTGTGGGTATACCAGATTTTGTTTATCTGTTCATACATTGATGGAAACTTGGACTGCGTCAGTGTTGTACCTGTTGTGAATGATGCTGCTATGAACTATCGGTGTACAGATATCTCTTTGTAATTCTGCTTTCAGTTCTTTTGGGTATATACACAGAAGTGGAATTGCTGGATCATATGATAATTATATTTGTCACTTTTTAAGGAGCAGTTAATACTGATTTCCACAGTAGCTCTATCATTTCACATTCCCCTCTAACAATACACAAGGGTTCCAATTTCTCTTGACAACACTTATTTTTTCACTTGGTGTAAGGTGGTATCTCATTATAGTTTTGATCTGCATTTCTGTAATGATTAATGATGTTGATCAGCTTTTCATGTGCTTATTAGCCATTTGTATATCTGCTTTGGAGAAATGTTTACTCAAATCTTTTGCCCATTTTTGAATCAGGTTGTATTTTAAATAGTTGTGTTTTAGGAGTTCTCTATATATTCCAGATTTTTATCCCTTATGAAATATATGATTGTAAATATTTCTGTTCTGTGAGTTGCCTTTTTACTCTGTTGATACATAAAATTTTTAAATTTTTGTATAGTCTCTCTGGAGTTATGGGGGTGGCTGAATATATGCAA